AACACAACTTTATTATCACTGTACAAACAACTTTATTATCACTGTACAAACACAACTTTATTATCACTGTACAAACACAACTTTATTATTCGGGGCATTCAGTCCCGGTCTGGGAACTCCCAGTCTGGCAGTCAGTTGTAACACTATTGCTACCGTGACCCTCCCTAATCTGATTTAAAAGTGTATCTATATATTCTGATTTCACTGTTTATGTCACTTGTACTCATTATCTAAATGACCTTGTATTCGTTGTTAATGATCAGTTGATTGTGGCTTTGTGAGCTGAAACCCCTGTGGATGTTTTCTGGCTGTTTGTGTGAAGCATGAAGTGAGATCTGATCGGTGCACAGTGGAGCTGTTTGAGGATTAAATACAAGCATATTCCAGTTGACATGTGGACGTACACGGCTGTGTGGATTAGGATTAGGAAGTCAGACAACCACACAGATCTGTGACCAGGTTAAATCAGGCCTCAGTATGAACCAGTGAATTAATGTCCTATGTTTCCCAGAATGCCTTTTAGTAACCTCCAGAGAGCTGACTTAAAACTCCAGAGTGTAACATCACTGTAATATAGTAACCATAGGTTTGTTTTCATTGGTGTTTAATCAGCTGAGAACAAGAATCATTGTGTGTTCGTTACCTTAGAATGAGACGTTTGTATCTACAGAGGCAGCAGGTCCTCTTCTGGCGGAGTCCGCCACGTTGAACCACCATGTTGAACCGCCATGTTTCTACAGTAGCCCAGAACAGACAAACCACATAGCAGTGTTTGGTTAGACAGAGACATTACTGTAGTTTCACACTCAGAAGGCTGAGCTGTGTTCAGTTAGTTGCAATCTGACACTACCACTAGATGGCGCTGAATCCAACACACTGGTCCTTTAAAGGGACCTTCTGACATTAGGGAAAATGAATAGTGTAGAAAATGTTCCTGCAGGGTTCCTACACTTCCTGTAAAACCTGGAAATTTAGAATCTAGTCTTCCAGTCATGGAAACTCCTGGAAATAGATTAAAATGTTTGTATTGTAGCTCCTCACCCAGTAAACCTGGGTGTGTATTTAGTCTGAAACCGGACTGTTGGTAGGATAAACTCTAATTTCACAGCAGGTTTACAGATGTCTGACAGAGACCTGACTGGAAAGTCGCAGTATGGCGGCATAATAAAACAGAATAAATTCTAATTGAACTGTTACTGATGGACTGTGGATGAATTATGTGGTCAGTTTCCCCCGAAACTGCAGCTTTTACAACCGTCTGTGAGCGAGTGCCGTCCTGTGCTGTGAAGAAAGACTAAAATGATTTGTGAGAACATGCTGAGCTCTGTGGTTGCAGCTGCATTACAGTGCAACAGTTAGCATGGAAAAGATCGGATCAATATTCAGAACTACAGAATAATTGCAGTTTTTCTTTGCATATGTTTGTATTTCAGTAATATTGCGATTAATTGTGCAGCTCTAGGAAAATTATAAAAAAGTATAATAAGTAATCATATTTTCCTAAATCCAACCAAACTGCGACTCTCAGACCTTTAACCACGTAACTTAACTAATGTCACGTTTCTTAGCTTGTTCTCCTTGACTGAACCTCTTTCACATTAATATAAGCTGTTACTATGAACTGTTACACCTGGAGGTTTCAGTTGGTTGGTCTGATTGTCTCAGTGTGTTCAGGCTGTTTTCAGTCCTCCCGCTCAGATGAATTAAACATTAAGGAGATTGTGACGGTGAAATCAGCAGCAGCTGAGTTGATGAATGGATTGAAGAATTAGATGTGAATCACTCGGCTGCTCTCTAAGGTTTCGTGCTTCTCACAAACACAAAATGATTCTTTGAGCTTTAAAAATACACGAAGTGCTCCAATCCTTCGGAGGGTTGCATCGACTCATTTAGAAACATTTCATTATATTTAGACCAGTTACCACATTATCCTTTTATAATGTGAATGCATGTTCCACACTGACAGTTGTTTGTTTGCTGTTTCCTCTACAGCCTTCCTTCAGTCAGCAGCACTGATCATTACACTGTACAAAGGGTATTCAGAAAGTACTAAAACAGTTTTACAGCATCAAAGTAGATTTAACTGAGTGAACAACAACAGGATCAGATCGAATTTATCAGACATCTCACAGGTAAAGTGCAGTAAAGAAACTCAGTAAAGTTCATTAAAGAAACACAGTAAAGTTCAATAAAGAAACCCAGTAAAGAAACTCAGTAAAAAGACGCAGTAAAGAATTGCAGTAAAGTGCAGTAAAGAAACGCAGTAAAGAGACGCAGTAAAGAAACGCAGTAAAGAAACAGTAAAAAATTGCAGAAAAGAAACACAGTAAAGAGACGCAGGAAAGAAACCCAGTAAAGTGCAGTAAAGAAACGCAGTAGAGAAACAGTAAAGAAACGCAGTAAAGAGACGCAGTAAAGAAACGCAGCAAAGAAACGCAGTAAAGTGCAGTAAAGAAACGCAGCAAAGAAACGCAGTAAAGTGCAGTAAAGAAACGCAGGAAAGAGACGCAGCAAAGAAACGCGGTAAAGAAACGCAGTAAAGTGCAGTAAAGAAACGCAGGAAAGTTCATTAAAGAAACACAGTAAAGAGACACAGTAAAGAAACGCAGTTAAGTGCAGTAAAGAAACGCAGTAAAGAGACGCAGTAAAGAAACGCAGTTAAGTGCAGTAAAGAAACGCAGTAA